TAAATGTAAGGCTTACTGAAGAAAAAACAGTGTTCTTCCTACAAGTTTCAAATATAGCTCCCAGAAGGCTTTGACATCATAATAATAGCTTAGACTCATGGGACAGGTAGTTTAATGCTGGCAAACTATAACAGTCTTTCACCTTTGGTAAAATAAGGATGTGTTTGAATGTAACCATCAGTATTACAGACCCATTTGTCTATTATTATGGACAGAAAACCTTGGTAATATGTTTCAAATTTGAAGGTTTAATGATGAAAACCATGTGAGTTATAGAGGCCAGTGGACAGATACTAGCTATCCAAGGGGCAGGAAGCCGGATCTCTTTTCTCCACAAGACTTGCAGTTGGCGCTGCTTCTGGCTTTTCTATTAGAAGCATCTTTCGGCTGAAGATGCCTCCTGGTTTGATAGAAAAATGGTCAAAATTTCAAGCAAAAAACTAAGGATACAGTGATAATATAGGCATATGGTTGTTGACCATGTAGTCATTGAAATCAAAAGAGATATTTTTGCCCAAATTCTAATTTTACAAAATCTTCAAAAGCTGCAAAACATATTCAGCCGTATACTGAAGGTAACAGAGCCTAATAAGTCTACACTGGCCTATTAACATTCCTAAAAGGCCAAAATGACCATTCATTAATATGTTTTAGCACAAGATGGCTACTCTGCAGTGGGCTGTTTATGATATTTCATACATTAACTTTGCAGCATTGGTGATGAAAGCAAACAAATCTGTCCATACACTATTAAATTCTCTATTTTTCTCTGAGACTTTTCCTTTTTTGGATTTGAAATCCACAGCTAGTCCAGCTAGGGAGACACAAGACTAGGCGTTTAGGCAGCACATTTTTACAATTACAGAATGTGAGAGTCAATTTCGGTCTACAATGAATGAAAAATAAAATGCTAAAACAAGCCGTTATTCACTACCATATATTGTTTTGTCAAAGACACGGGGACAGTAGGGCTACAGGGCCACATGCAGCTCTGGAGCCACGTGTTGCCCACCCCTGTGCTAAACGTTAAACTCCCATGTGATGATTTGATGACTCACTTTTTATTCAAGAGAATTAATTTTGCTTGGTGGTACAGCTTTAATTTAACTTAAAGGTTTAGTGTGTGGGATCTAGTGGCAACTAGTGGTGAGGTTGCAGATTGCAATCAACTGAAACTTCTGTGTGCAAAGCGTGAAGGAGAACTATGGTGGCTGACACAAAAATATGGATGGGTTTATCTAGAGCCAGTGTTTGGTGTGGCCGTTCTGCACTACTGTGGAAACATCATTGTGAACTCTGCAGACAGGGACCCACTCCCTGTGTAGATATAAACTTCTCATTCTAAGGTAACAAAAATACAATGATTCTTATTTTTGATGATTATATACTAACAAAAACATAGCCTAGTTATGAATATTATATTGAATTTCTGCCAATACATCCCCATAAATCCTACACACTGGACCTTTAAATTAACAGAACACAATATTGTTCACAAGCACAAGTTTAACTATTGCAACATACAAATAATGTTACCTCAACAGATGTACTCAATAACATGTAGCTTGATGCTGACTTCAAGAGTGATAAATGATATGGTTTCCTAAAATAAACAAAAACACCAATAATAAATCAAAGACGGCGTGACTTACCAGGAAAAGAGGTTGTTTAGTGTTGACAGTGGCTGCTCTGCATGTGAGTGTGTCAGAGGAGATTGCGAACACGTCTTTTCTCCTGCAGAGAGTCGGTGGTGAGCTGAGCTGCTGCTCTGCTGCACCTGTTTGAGACAACTGTCAGGTTTATAGCACAAGACAACACTCTCACTTATATTCACCCTGTATCATAACAAGTATAGCCTGCTGTACTCTGGTGAAAATAAGATCATGGAATAGATAAAGAGAACAAGGTGTACCCAAAAGGAAATTTTATTTCTTTAATGGCTCAGTTAGTAAGTCATAAAGCCAATAGGATTATATGGCCCAGACCAGGGCTTTGGTCAGGACTATAAAATATTGAGTCATTGGTCCAAGTCCAAAAAAAGTCTCAAAATGCTCATAATTTATTCTCCCAAAGGCAAAGACAGCAACATATCACCATTGGATCCCAACAGCATATACTATATCTATATGGAGACTGTCCATTTATAAGTGACAAAGCAACTAGCACTGATATTCCTTTGAGACTCACCTGGCACACCATGTTCTGCTTTCTTTTTGGACAGCTGCTGTAAAAACAACTTTGTTAACAGCAAAGTATTGATTAACAAACAAGGTTAAAGATTTTACCCCCGGAAAATGTTTTTACCCCAATAAAAACTAGACTTAGATACACTGTGTGCTTCTTTGTAAAAGATGTAATGAGATTCTAGCACATCTGTTTTGTCAAAATATTTTGGACTGACAGGAAAGTGTAACTGTGGAATGCAGACTTTTGTGCTGTAGGACAATTCCAAGTCTGTGACATTTTGTAAGCAGGTAAACCTGCTTTTGAATCATGGCAAATTTCACATCCACACCAGCAAGGACTGAAACCAAAAAACAGACTCCAGTATATTCAGTATCACTTTTAGTATGTATTTGGAATAACTTGAATATTATGTAGAATCACAAGGCCATAAAAACTGTATATTTGTTTGAAAACTGTCTCTCATATAAGATAAACTCTTAAGCCCCATAGATTAACTGTTGTTTTTTCACTCTCTTGCTCTTTAATGTCTTCTCTTTTATTTCATTTTTTTTTTTAAATTGAAAGGGAGTAGACCAGTAATTTTGTGTTGCACATTTATGTATGAGGGCAAGACGTAAAAAAAAAAATTAAATAAAAAGCAAAGATGGCCAAAATAGAAGCAGCAGAGACAGATAGTATCCGGTATATACTCTTATTGTGCCTTGCATCTACTGTATCTCAGTGGAGCATTTGTCTTCTGTCTATCAGGAACACCCGATAAAGTAATCTCTTCATCTGACACACGCTGACCAGCTTGTGTCACAATATAGATATATGCTGCCACCATGTGCTGAAAATATGAAATGCAGTGGCTGGTTGCACCTTTTGCAAGAACAAAAGGACGTAAAAAAAACCCCAACAACAACATAAATTTCATGTAGGCTATATTAGGATTGTTTTTCTTTTCACCTCTCAAAAAATGCAAACAATTATAAATACAGTAATTATATGTACACATGTTTTACATACAAGTAATTTGCCTCAGTATTTTGGTGCATAGCAATACACTTGGTGAGAGAAAATGAAAATAAAAAGAAAGTGTAAAAGTTAAAAAAAAATTGTACAATGTATCTGTTTTAAAATGAAAGACTTTTATTATATTTTTTGAAAATATTTTAAATATTTGCTACCTACCTTTAATGAAGCTTAATTACAGTGTAAGTGTAATATAGCTGAATATCACCAAGAAAGTGAGTGCATTATAGCTAGTTTAATTATGGAGACACTGTGTCTTTTTAACACAATAAATACCATCTTTACATAACTGAGGGCAGTGTAACAGTTGTGCTACAATAGTTTCATTAAATCAGAGCTGTCAAACATATGGCCTGGGGCCCACAAAAGGGTCTCATTCGGCCCACTGGATGACATTGCACACCTTATTGATACACTTGTGAAGACTAAAAGGTGCTAGTCATAGACTGTATAAATTATGGATGTAGCTACTGTGACTTCAAACATTGGTTTGTGGGCTGCCGTTTTGAAGCCTCAAGTTCCTCAAATCTGTAGTGGATTTCTCTCTTAAACTATTTTAGTGGAACTGCCAAGAGTCTGGATTTGTAAATGGTTTGTCAGGTAGGGGATAACTCAACCTGCTTCCTCAGTTGCTTCTACTTTAATTTGATGTGATGATGCCTGAATGACTATACAGTAGTGGAAATGTATGGAAAAATGCACATGTAATGGCGGTGAGTAGCAGACTGACTGAATGTGGGAAAAAAACATATTGTTGAAATTGCACATATTTTCCTTAAGACATCTCAGACTGTTTTGTACATGGATATTCTTTCCAGAAAGTACTTGTATTTCTTTAGGGACTGTTCTTTATGTATCAGAGGAGGGGGTGATTGGGGTGTGACTTCCATTTTTTTTTCTTTTACTAGTGTAAAACGCATGACGCTCCCTTCACCATAAATTAGTTATTAGATTTTGATGTTTGAAAGTTAAAAGTTGAAGATGAAATCCTAGAGCTGCAAAAAGCCTCAGTTTTTCCACTCTTGTTGTGCATGCTGGTTAACACGTGCAAACAGTTTATTTTTGGCCAGATTTTAAATGAGACTTATAATAAAGTGATTTTGATGAAATATGATGATTTTAAACTCAGATGTTTTTTGCTGACAGAAGTGTTCATTACACATGATGCGTCCAAGGTTTGTCAGAAACTTGAAAATCCAACAATAATTTTTGTTTTTACAGTTTCTGGCTATGAAAAATGGTGCAAAACTGGTGTTTTTTTAAAGAAAACATGCCCTCTAAACCTGCAGGCATGTTGTGTTTAAAAATCTGTGGTAAAAATAAGTACAAGATAGAACCATTTAAATTTGTATGGCCCTCCCTAAGCCAAAAAACCCACCCTCCCCAGTGCTTAAAAAATTATCACACGCCATCCCCTTTATGCATTACCCCCTTTCTCCTCATAAACAACGAACAGTCCCTTACACTAAAAGAAAGTGAGGCATTTGGGGGTGTTTTTATTATTATATATTTACAGGCTATTATGCCACTTACTTGAGATCAGATTGGGCTGTATGTGGCCCATGAACTAAAATGAGTTTGACACCCCTGCTTTAAATAATAAGCATAATTTATGAATAAACTAAATTCTCTGAATGATGCACTTTCACCAGTTCCCTAGCTAAGAGCACCTTCTAGTGGTTAGATTTAAATTCACAGCTTTTATTTATCTGGGCGGGACTCTTGTCCCTTTTGGCCCCTCCCTTGTATAGTGAGGGCCCTGACGTAGCCATTCGAGGGTAGCAACAGTTGCCTCGAGACCCCGTCGCGCCATAGTGACTGTAGCCGTGGAGACAGTTACTTACCAACGGGCGCAACACTCAGCAACAGCAGCAGCAGCATCTGGAAGTCACCGAGCGAGTGGGAGAGAGGGGAAAGAGAGCAGAGCCAGGGCAGAACTTTTCTCAAGGCAAAGGTGACTATTATCTTAATAGAATTTAGATGCTGAATTCATGTAACTGTGGAGACAAATGCTCCGGGGTTGAGTGCGTTGCTAGCAGTCTTGGTTATTTTCCACAACATAACTTTCCCTTCTTTGTGGCAACGGCCACAAGTTGAGAACGGCTTTTCACTCCTCATTTAAATTTCGTTCACCTATTGCTGGCAACAGATTTTTGCACCTGGAAAAATATGTTTCACCTCTGCTACTTATTTGGCTACACTTTGCTTGAACGTTATACACCGCGGCAACGTTACTCCAACTTGATTGAGTATCACTTTACACTTGTTGCTACGTTGTGCAGTGTGTGTGTCGAGCTGTGAACGCACTTCCAGCTCATTCTCAGTAGGATGGGTGGTAAGGCTACCAGTGAAGCTACAGCTAATGCTAACCCAGCCAACCAGCAGCGATGAGCGCGAGTCCACTTGTGAGTTCAACCGTTTGTCGCGTTGTTAACGGCAGTTCTGTCTTGTTTGTCACAACACTGACCAACTTCATTCTCGGTGTGTCTTTCTCAACAACCGTTTTCAAGCAGGTGGAAATGTGGCTAGCTAGCGTTAGCAACGTCGGTGCTGGTGCTCAAACTGCAACTAACGTCCACCGCGAGCAAACTGAACTCAGCAGGAGGACAACTTTCATTTTGACACAGAGTTTGCCAGCTCCTTTTACGTGATTTGGACTCGCTAATTTTGTCGTAATAGGGGTTAAAAACATAACGTTGTCGAGTACGAATATGTGAACTTCTGCCGGCGACGTTGCGACACTCACCGTTAAAACGTTACCAAACCTGGTGCTTCCACTGGTCTCTATCTCAGGAGAGATATGGTAAACTATCAAGATGAGCTCGTGTCCGTCAATCAGATTATACAACGTTTGTTTTCTTAAGGAAACAAAGTTGGTACTTCACAAAGTTTGGGTGTTTTTAATATTTCTGAAATGTCTTGAATAACTGGGTATGTTACAGCTAGGTGGTGCTATGATGGTTCTGTTATACTGCTCTGTCTTGTTTTTACAGTCTTGAGTATTTAAAGTGTAGTTTTCAATGTGCTTTTTAAAACTATGCACCAATTAAGACACACTTGTAAACTATATATTAAGCTCAGTGAATTGGACCCAGATTTATATACTTTCTTTCATTCACTCACAATTCATTCAGCTCCTTCTATAATCTTTCCAGATTTATTGATGCTTTACCCGTTGAGCAGACCCATAGGCAAATTGTTTGCTAATAGCCAAGTTGTTAGCAGTGGCACTGCTTCATTGTTTAAATGGCAGTTCTCATTAGGGTTGCTGTTTGACCTCTCTTCAGAGCTGAAGGCAGGTATCAATCTGTGCTATGGTAATAATGAGAAACCAAGGAAATGTAGACCCCCTAATGATCTTAACCCCCCCATTTTCACTGGCTTTATAGTGTGGCTGTGGCTGGTTTCCATCACTTTGCATACCTTTTTTCTCCTTTTGGGATTCTGTCTCTTTTTGTCCCCAGAGGTACATTAATTCTTATGAACTATCTTTTCAGAGACAGCCGTCAGGTGCTCGGTCATTTGTAATGTTGTTTGCTATTGAAGCAAACAAGGAAGAACCTTTGAGCGTGAAAATTTCTCTAATTAAAACCTACTCTGCTCACTGAATTGAGTCATAAACTGCCAATGTGTATTTACATAAAGTATTTCTCTTGTAAATGAAGAACTGAATGATTCATTTAAAGACATGTATTATCAATGCAGCCCAATATCTGTTTCCTTTTATGTGATGAAGGGGTCAAAACACAGGTTTGAGTATGGTTATATTAATCATAATTAATATCTCTGCATTATATTTTTATGAAGCTTCCTCCCTTTTGGTCTGAATATTTTAGGGATGAATTGAATGTGCATTAGGAGAAGACTCTGCTTGTTAGAAAGAACCCTAACTTTGATTGGTCAGACAACTCACCGCAGCTACAAAGAAAATAAAGAGATGACAGCGCTGAAACTCTGTGTAACCCCCACCAACCCCACCCCCCAATTTGAGCGTGACACTGTTATGTTTACATGGCAACTTGATATACAAATACACCCAAGTCATGGAAAGAAAAGGGATGGAGTGGGCCAGGGGGCGAAATGTTATTCTTTTAAAAGTCAGTGTTTTTAATCAGGTTATTTTCATCTCTCCCTTTGTGGTAAGAGTGAATAGCTTTGGCTTGCAGAGGCAGGTCAGAAAGAAATGGTGCTCAGAGAGGAGACTTAAAGTGGAAAGCAGCTGATGGTTGGACAGTTATGTTGACATTTTTCACTAGCTTGTGCATGAAATTATCAATGAGAATGTCAGTTTTTTTGTTTCTTCAGTTGTAGAGCACTTGTAGTCTGACTGTACCCTGAGTTTCACTTGGAACATGTGATTGTGGTTGTACTTAGGTCCATTTCAGAAACTAAAGCCTCACTGGCCTATGATTCACAGAGATGTTGCTTCTTTAGGCCTAACCCTTTCTCTTCTAGCCCTCTTTTAAGCTATCTGTGCAGTTGCTCGTATAAGTGTGTCTAGCAGTGTCCACCATTACTCGTGTGCCATTTTGAGTGTTTAATGGACCCATTTGTGTAGTACAGTTCAGCTATCAATAGGACAGCTGCAGTGGTCTCTTGGGCAGCGGGTGACCTGACACAGCTTTTGGTCACATGTTCTGCATGTGTGTATGTGGTGTGAGAGTGTGTGTGCTGTGTGGATGTGCTTGTGTATGTGTGTTTGCTCATGCTGTATTTAGCTTATCTTGATGAGGCCTACTGTTGCCCTGGGGAGAAGTTCTCAATCCAATGGCCTGCTACAGATATAGACACAGACCTAGTCACTGCCATCAGTTTTGTCGCTGCTGTTTACAGTTGATAATACTGCATTTACCTCCTGCTGTGCTAACTGAACTGCCTGTCTTTTGCACTTTTCATTTTCTGATATTAACACAGATTTAATGGGTTATCCCATAATTCTAGTCAAAGGCATGTCAGAAAATCACAGAGCAAAGCTGAAGAAGTGAGAGGAGAATGCCTTGTGGGGCTTGTTAAGTGGAAATTAATAGTGCTATTTGTTCATATGAAATGTTACAGTTTCATAATCTTCATAATTCATTTACTTGTGAAGGGCTTTTCATTTCAAGTGATGTGCTGTTACCGTTTTATAAGAATCTGTTGAAAGGAAAATGGTTTAAGTGTCCTTGTGACTCTCACATCCCTTCTTCCAGCTAGAGAGATTTTGGAAATCATTGAAGGCTTACGCTGCTAGGATACTAAGAAACAAATCTTGTCATATACCAAAAAAATGTTGCCACTGATTGGCCCGCGCACAGTGGCAACAAGTTGAAACTTGTTGTGAAATGAAATGTTTTTCAGTCTGTCTCTTCTGTCTGTCTGTGTGTCATCGAGCATTCTTAACATTCCACCTGTTTATATCGTAGCTACACAACTGCTAATTAAATTTCCTGCCACAACAGCAGACAAGGCAATGACATTTGCATTACAATGGCTGACCCCCCTCCCTCTCTATTTCAGGCAGGGATAGTAGCAGCCCCCCATCCTCTCCCCACTTTTCCTTTCTTTTGTAGAGTTTTATTCTAGTTTGTTAAGAGATGTTTATTTGGTTTAAAAAAGAACTTCTGTCAGTGTAAACCAACAACAGAATAATTACTAGAACCAAGACTAGGCTTTTTAGCAGAGTGAGATTTGATCAGATTTGGAAAGGAGTAGACCCAGACAATATTTTTTAGATTGAATTAGCTGGGGCTTGAGCATTGCTTTTCAGAAGCTCTTTAATTAGGAGAGTTGGTGCAGAGGATGCCATTGTCACAGGTGGAAACAACCTGGTTTCGCTGTAATAGCGGATGTCCTTGTGTAGTGCAGCTTTCAGATCCCATTCCCGATCTTTGTGAACCATCTCTTTCCACGCACTGACCTCAAAGGAGAGGAAATGTTAAAGTTGCAATTTTCAATTTAAAAGCAGCATTCTATGCTAATTGTTTTCATGTAAGAGTTAACAGCATCTGTGTCACCTGACTGAAGAGGAAGAGTGTTGCAAAGTGTAGTCAGGGTTGTAGGCCTGGCAGTGAAGTGTTGCCACTGACAAAGTAGTCAAACCTATGGATTATTTTCGATAAAAAAGAAAAACCTGTCAACAAAATGCAAGGCAAACCAATAATTACCAAACCAATTCATCATTTGATTATTTTATCAATTAATCGATTAATTGTTTGGTCTTTGAAATGTCAGAAAATGGTGAAATATGTCCATCATTGTTTCCCAAAGCTGAAGATGCTGTCCGTAGATGTTTTGTCCACAACCCAAAGAGGAAACGAACCACAAAATCCTCACATTTAAGAAGCTGGAATCACAGCATTTTGACTTTTTCTTTCTTAAAAATGTACTCAAACAGAGTAATCAACTGTTAATTTAGTGGCAGATTAATTTCGAAGTTGACAATTGATTAATCATTGCAGCTCTAGAAATAAATAAGCAACTAGATAAGAAATATCTGGATTTAAAGAGCATAAGTATGCAGACCAATAGACAGGCCGTCAACTGAATCCTGTCACCACCACTTACTGTATGATCTATCATTGCCATCTTGATGTAAATTGCTATGCAGGAACACTTGTTAGATCCTTAGGTAATCTTATGGTTAATGTTCTGGAAATGAGACTGAATAGGATTTGCCATTAGGGTGTGAATGCTACTAGTATTAAGCATGTCAGTGGATCTGGCTGCTGGCTGTAGAAAAGATGGTTTAGAATGCAGACCTTGTTAAGTTTCTCTATGAATGGTTGATCACAGTTAATTTAGGGTTACATGCTAGTTTGATTAAATGATTCAAAAATATGAGTTTTATTGCTGTATTAACATTGCTCTATGTTGAATCACCAATCACCATTAAGACAGCACTGTATTAATGGCATTAAATAGCACCTAAGTGTTGCAGCTGTGGGTTACTAAAGCAGTATTACTACAAAAAACTTG